AGTCTAGGTGGCTAATATCAAGGTGTGTGCAGGGCTAGAGTCCTTCTATAGTAGGCTTGGGTAATGTGTCCCCCCACCCCCACCCCAGGAAGGACTTATGCAGCTTGAGAAATCATTTGGTCTGGCCCTGCCAAGGCATTAGGTGTTTGACCAAATATAGCAGGCTAATTTTTAAGTTGATAGTTTTGTATGGCTCTGGAATGATGTTTTAAATATCCAAATGGTCCTTGGCAGAAAAAAAGGTTCCCCGCCCCTGTTTAGAGGCTCAGGGTAGGATCTGTTTCTCTCTGATGCCTGTTAGTCTGCTTGGCTGCCACCCCTTTGCTCATATTCCTTCCTCCATCTTCAAGCCAGCTGTGTAGCATTTTCAAAATCTCTCTGAAACCAACTCCTTTGTCTCTCTCTCTTCAACATTAACAGAACCACTATGCTTACCTTAGTCCCACCTGGATGAGCCTGGCTCATCCTCTATCCTAAAATCAGCTGATTAACAAGCCTGTTTCCTCTGCTACTTTAATCCTACCCTTGCTAAAAGATATATCATATTCATGTGCTTGGAGGTTGAGTAACAGGAAGGAAATGTGCCAGTCTCCCATCATGTGTAAACTTAGGCTGAGAGGGCATGGCTATGTTTATTTCTCACCGTTATTTGTTTGTTTGGAGGCCCAATTCTGCCTGGGGGCTGATGCTGCACACTTTCCTGCTGTCTTGCCTGTGAACAGAACTTTAGTCTCTATCATCAACTATTCAGGGAGGAATTCAGACATCCCCACAATGACCTTCCTCTCATAGATCTTATCAAGGTGAGTCCATAACCCAGCTGACCCTGCATGAGAGAGAGGGTCACAGAGAATGGAAGCCAGGAACATTTACCTGTTGTCACCTGGGAGCTCATTCTACTTAGCCCAGAGGCAAGAGATTGCTGTTTGTTTGCTTGATTAATTAATGTATTTATTTCAGTGGCTACCTAAGAAATTATGGTGTGGCTGCTACTCACACCTTTGATGGTCTTTCATACTCTTTTCTCATTAAATTGCTATTACATTAATGCTATTAAAATGTGTTTAAATTATTAAATTCAAACTGTGGTTCTAATCGGGGTTGATTTTCCCCTCAAGAGACATTGAGCTATGTCCTGACAGATCTGTGACTGTCACACTGGAGAGGGGTGGGTGGAAGCAGGGATGCTAAACAATCTTCAATTCATAGGCCAGACCTCACCACAGAGAACAGTCTGTCCCAGATGCCAACAGTGCTGAGGCTGAGAGACTCTGAGTTAAATAGCATCACTATTTGTAATATTTATAGCTGACTTCAGGTTGTTTTCCAAAATGGTAACACTTTCTGCCAGTAAAATTGGAGGACCCCCTTTTGCTACCATTTAAAAAATTCAACCTCAGGCTAGCTGGAGTGGCTCAGTGGCTGAGCGCCCAGGGCAGGGTTGCTAGTTCCATCCCCAGTAGGGGGTGAGGGGTGGGGTGCAGGAGGCAGCTGATCAGTGATTCTCTCTCACCATTGATGCTTCTGTCTCTCTCTCTCTCCCTCTCCCTTCCTCTCTAAAATCAATAAAAATATTTTTTAAAAGTTCCAAACACAATCAACATGACTGCTCTTTCAGGCTAATGGCTACAACAGACATTTCTTGTTGTTTTCTCAAACTATTACTCAGTTTCTGCAAACTTCATTTATTTTCCCATTTTTGTATAGCATTTCAAATTTTTCTAGAAATCAATGGACTTTTGTAGGACATTTCTTACCATAAAATTTTTAACATTTTATTTAAATATATCTATTTAATAACCACTGAGTTTCTTGCTTTAATAAGTTGTTTTTGCCCACCGGTAAATTTTATATGTAATTTCTAATGTTCATCAAAAATGTATTGGTGATTCTTACACTGAGTTTGTAATCTCTATGACATCTTGCAAGAGATCAGAGGGCAAGGACCAATTCAATATTCTTTCGCATCGATAGCTATTTATGCCAGCTTTTGTGTAACAATTCAAAATTTTTAAACTATATTGAAGTATAAGCTTGCCAAATGGTAAATGTTCATGTACATTGAAACCTAATTCCAGATTCATTAAATGAATCGTAACTGAGCATATGTTATGTGCCAGAACATTGTAGGAATATTATGCATTATATACTTGTAGATCTAGGTCTTTACAATTTAACAGTAAACCCACATTGATATTCTTAAATGATTGTGTTTTGTGGCTTATTTCAGTTAGTGTTTAATTCTCCGTTCAATTCTGCTTACTCTTGTTCTTTTGAAACTACTCATTTTAATCTGGTTTCATTATCCCTTCATTTTTTCATTTTATCACTGTTCACATTCTTAGTTTTGTCTTGGTGTAAGTGCACATCTAGTCACATACTTTTGTAAGAAATCCAAACATGAACAAAGCAGGCAAAGTCCCTGCTCTTTGGATCATGCAGTATAATAGTGAGGGCAGAGAACAACGAAATAAATGTGTGTTTAAAATATTGTCCTCATGAAGAACCATATGAAGAAAGCTATTCGTATAAAGAGATAGAACTGCCATGGTGTGGGCAGGATGTATAAAACATGGTCTGGGGAGGATTTGCATGTTGGATGAAGACCAGAACCAGGACCAGAGTGTGCTCACAGGGTGTGTCAAACAAGATAAAAACCCAAAGCCCAAAATAACACAGAAAAGGTGCCCCATAAGAAAAGGGGTAAAGGGGCTAACCTCACCCCCTATCAGACCACATAAAAACAAATTGGTCAAGTGACTATGAATAGGTACAGAAAACAAGTCTTCCACTGCTTGATAACAAAAATATCCACCTCTTTTTACACTTTCAGTGTGTGGGGTGTGGTTTTATTTCTTTACTAATTATAAAGGGATACAATAAGTAATATAATTTTGTCTTTTGGACAAGCTTATTGTTGTTTACTTATTATTTTTCTGGCATCAATGTAATGTGTTGAGGGTTTAAGTACTACCAGACCCAAGTATATTTATCTTCCTCACTGTCCCTCCAGGACCATCTGACTTTATTAAGTCTCTATTCCTTCTTCACTATTTCATTATTTTCTCCACAATCTCTCTCTCCTTTCCATTCATTGAACAGATTTCACTATGTTTTACTAAATACAGAGCAGAAAATGGCCATCCCAGTATGGAATTCCAAGTTTATTTGTCTATGGAAGGTTTAATATTTGGAATTTCTAGAAATCATTTCTATATTTGCCAAGTGAAAGATCACTGATCTGGCCAACTTGGGTTGTTTTCATTCGTAGTAGAATCAGTGTGACTGGGGCTGAGACAGACATGGGAATACCTACCTAGGAGGCCATGGTGGTGGTCGTGGTGGTGGTGGTGGTGGTGGTGGTGTGTGTGTGATTTGTGGATGTGAGCAGCCCTCAGACCAGGGGTACAAGCACTCATACATTCTAAGGTAGCTCTTACAATATGGGACCAGAGCTCAATCAAGAGAAGGTACTAAGAAGGGGATCTGTTTTCATTCACAGGACACCTTTGCAACAAGAATAATAGAGTATAAGAGGCCGTGTGGACGAAGAAGTCCCTGTGCCTGAGGTGTCAGCCATAGCAGACAGGCCTCCTCACTCCTCAGTGTGTCTGCCACCACTTCTCATCACTCTCCCTCATGCTTATCCACCTTGCAAATGGCCTTTACTTTTTTAGACTTGAACATTAGAAACAAACACCTTCCTCAGGGCCCTTACACTGGCCAGTCCTTCTGCAGGGCTCACATGATCCCACAAGCCTTGTGTCTCTCTTCCTCTGTTGTGTTAAAGAAAAAAATTATCGGGGCCAAAAGATTTCCTTTTTAAATATATTTTTATTGATTTCAGAGAGAGGAAGGGAAAGGGAGAGAGATAGAAACATCAATGATGAGAGAGAATCATTGATCGGCTGCCTCCAGCAGGCCCCCCACTGGGAACTGAGCCCACAACCCAGACATGTGCCCTGGCCAGGAATCCAACCATGATCTCTTGAATCATAGTTCGATGCTCAACCACTGAGTGACACCAGCAAGCCAAAAGCTTTTCTTTAAGAAAAAAAATTATTTTTTGAGCCAAATGCCAGCCAGGAAAGGTCTTGGGGCATAAAGTTTAAACCACCAGCAGCACAAAAGACATGTCCAAGTCCTGGAGTTTACCAGCTCTTTCTACTTCATGTTTTAGGAAAGAAACATGTAAGCTCTTTTGAAACAACTTACATTGGCTACAGATCCTGTGTGGGATGGGAGCAGGTAAAGTAGGGGCATGTCTTAAAGAGATACTAAGGAAGAATAATTACTACTTTGATTGGTTACAGGCAACAGTTCTGAAAGCTCGTGGGCATGCAGGATGCAGGGGCATCTAATGCTCTCTACAGAAGTTGATTCGAGTTCCAACATACATTCAGGAATGTGAGTAGTCTTTTGTAAGTGGGCCACAGCTTTTAGCTGGTTGACTACTATTGTTTTTCTCTCACTCTCTAGTCCCACTGTATTTAATTTAGGACATCTCCGAATGTTCCCCTTTTCACTTATTCAAATGGCACCTTGTTTGCAGATCTACCTACAAACCCATGAAAAATAACTCCCTACTCACTGTCTCTTTTAGATGTAATTTCCTTTTCTTCACACCACTGCCAACACCTAAAGTAATTTATTATTTCATTACTTGCTTCTACATCCTTTCTCCCTCATTGGATTGTAGATACTTTTGTTTTTCAGCACCCTATTCGCACAGCCTGGACAGTACCTAAAACATAGTCAGCACTCAATTTATATTCCTGAGAAACCTGAAGAAATTCTCATTGAAACTTTAGAATACATGAACCCCTCAGATACATAGGTGATTGGGACAAATATTCCATATCAGGGGTGGCACTGGATATCCCCTAAAGGGGACCATATCCATACATAAAATATTAAAAGTAATGTCTAGCCTGCAAACTATGAATTTCGTGAAAATTAGTCATGTTACTTTTATCTTTCCTGATAGTCAATTCCACCTCATGGAACCTGTGAATCTTACACAAATTTCAGAGTTTGTTCTTCTGGGATTTTCAGAGAAACCAGAACTGCAGCCCCTCATATTTGGGCTTTTCCTCTCCATGTACCTGGTCACTGTGTTGGGAAACCTGCTCATCATCCTGGCCGTGAGCTCAGACTCCCACCTTAACACACCCATGTACTTCTTCCTGTCCAACCTGTCCTTGGTAGACATCTGTTTCACCTCCACCACCATCCCAAAGATGCTGGTGAACATCCAAACACAAAGAAAAGCCATCACCTATGCAGGATGCATCACCCAGATGTATTTTTACATACTTTTTGCTGGGTTGGATATTTTCCTCTTGACTGTGATGGCCTATGACCGGTTTGTGGCCATCTGCCACCCCCTGCACTACACCGTCATCATGAACCCCCGGCTCTGTGGACTGCTGGTTCTGATATGCTGGATCATGAGTGTCCTGCACTCCTTCCTACAATGCTTAATGACATTACGACTGTCCTTCTGCATGCACGTGGAAATCCCTCACTTTTTCTGTGAACTCCATCAGATGATCAAACTTGCCTGTTCTGACACATTTTTAAATAACATGGTGACCTATTTTTCAGCTCTTCTGCTTGGTGGAGTTCCTTTCACTGGGATTCTTTACTCATATTCTAAAATAGTATCTTGCATACATATAATGTCATCTGCTCAAGGGAAGTATAGAGCATTTTCTACCTGTGCGTCTCACCTCTCAGTTGTCTTCTTATTTTATTGTACAAGTCTAGGAGTGTACTTCAGCTCTGCTGCTACCCACAATACACACTCAAGTGCAACAGCCGCAGTGATATACTCTGTGGTCACACCCATGCTGAACCCCTTCATCTATAGTCTCAGGAACAAGGACATTAAACAGGCTCTGAAAGCATTCTTTGTGAAGGAAACTACCAACAGGTCATTGTCCTAAGACTGAAGATGTGCCCATGATGGCAGAAGTCAAAGGCTCAGAGTCAGATACTGTGATTATTTTCCTACTAAGGAAGTAGAATTTGCTTTTTCCATTGATTTCCTGGAATATCTATTTCTTTGACCTCATCTTCTCTATTCTATTTATGTAACTCAATTAAGTTTTCTGCTCTCTCAGATATCCAACAGCTTATCTTTTTGCTGTTTTCCTACTTCCCCAAATTTATTTCCATATGGATCAGATATTTGGAACATCCCATTTACCTAATAGACAACATGGATTTTTTTAGAATAATTTTTCTCAAATGACATATATCACATCAAATAATTTTTGTACCTAAAAGAATCATCCTGAATGGTATTCTTATGGGAAAAACTACAATTAATGAACCCCACTGGTGTTGCTTGGTAGTTGAGCCTCAACCCATGAACCTAGAAGTCATGGTTGGATTCCTGGTCAGAGCACATGCCCTGGTTACAGGCTCAATCCCCAGTAGGGGGAATGCAGTAGGTAGCAGATCAATGATTCTCTTTCATCGTTGATGTTTATATCTCTCTCTCCATCTCCCTTCCTCTCTGAACACAATAAAAAAAATATTTTTAAAAACCACACTTAATGACCAAGGCAATTCATACAATTTTAAAAGAGAGGAAAATCTGAGACTTGGGTTTTTCACTTTTATGACTATCATACTTTTGTATATCACTGTCTTAACTGCTCTTCCTAATAATGTAGACTCTGACATACTTGGGTTTAATAGCTGCTCACCAGGTTTAATTCTCCTCATTAGAATCCTCTTTTGTTGTTTTTTTCATCACAGTGTTTATAATCCCTACCTGAGCCACTTACAACATGACTATCAAATCCATGTCTCCAAGAGGACTCTTAACTGAAAGATAATTTTTAATAAATAGTTTGACCTAATGCCACCTTAAAATCACAGATTAATTTCAAAATGATAAAGCAAATTTTTTAATCATATATTGTATTACTATGTAAAATATTTATTTTCATGCTATACATCTAGTGGTTCTCAACCTTCCTAATGCCGCAACCCTTTAATACAGTTCCTCATGTTGTGGTGATCCCCAACCATAAAATTATTTTCGTTGCTTCTTCATAACTGTAATTTTGCTACTGTTATGAATCATAATGTAAATATATGATATGCAGGATGTATTTTCAGGGGTCTCGACCCACAGGTTGAGAACTGCTGGGAGGGAGGCGATTGAGTCATATATCTTAGGAATATATAATGGGAATAATCACTGCAAAGACTCAGAGGAAGGGTGCCTGGTGTCCTCGGGGAGCAGTTAATAAACAAATGTGGCTGGAATAGAGTCAAGTAGGAGGGAGGAGAGGACAGAGAAAATGTGGGTTGAATTCTCTGCACCATCATTTATTGGCTGCATAATCACAGATGACTCAAACTCCATGCATCTTAGTGTTTTTTCTGTGGCCTATTTACATGGCAAGATTTTTGAAAGGTTAAAATAAAAAAATGTAGGGAAGTTATTTTTAAGCCATTTTGGTATTGTTCTATATCTAAGAATAGATGGATAGATAGACAGATAATAAATAGGAGGTAGGTACATAAGTATATAAGTAGATAGATAGAATTATAGTTTGAATTTTTGTGTCACTCTTCCCCCCTCCCCCATAAAAGATTCAGATGTTGAAACCCTAAACCCTAAAAATTATGGTATTTGGAGATGAGGCCTTGGGGGGCTTGGCCAGCCTGCAAACAGCCATCAGCCCCTCACCCAGGCTGGCCAGGCACCCCAGCAGGGACCCCCGCCCTGAAGGGGCTATAGCCAGCCTGCAAACAGCCATCAGCCCTTCACGCAGGCTGGCCACACCCTCATGGGGTGAGGGTCCTCGCTGAGGGGCTTGGCTAGCCTGAAAACAGCCATCAGCCCATCAACCAGGCTGGCCAGGCACGCCAGCAGGGACCCCCACCCTGAAGGAGCTGTGTCCAACCTACAAACAGCCATCAACCCTTCACCCAGGCTGGCCAGGCACCCCAGGGGGGACCCCCACCCTGAAGGGGCTGTGGCCAGCCTGCAAACAGCCATCAGCCCCTCACCCGGCTGGCCAGGCACCCCAGCAGGGACCCCCACCCTGAAGGGGCTGTGGCCAGCCTGCAAACAGCCATCAGCCCCTCACCCGGCTGGCCAGGCACCCCAGCAGGGACCCCCACCCTGAAGGGGCTGTGGCCAGCCTGCAAACAGCCATCAGCCCCTCACCCGGCTGGCCAGGCACCCCAGCAGGGACCCCCACCCTGAAGGGGCTGTGGCCAGCCTGCAAACAGCCATCAGCCCCTCACCCAGACTGTTAAGGCACCCCAGGGGGGACCCCCATCCTGAAGGGGCTGTGGCCAGCCTGCAAACAGCCATCAGCCCCTTACCCAGCCTGGCCACACTCTCATGGGGTAAGGGTCCTGGCTGGGGGGCTTGGCCAGCCTGCAAACAGCCATCAACTTCTCACCCAGGCTGGCCAGGCACCCCAGCAGGACCCCCCTCCCTGATCTGGGACACACCAGCTGGCCCCCACCCATGCACCAGGCCTCTATCCTATATAATAAAATGGTAATGTGCAAATTGACCCTAACAGCAGAGTGACTGGGAATCACTGGTCACTATGACACACACTGACCACCAGGGGGCAGACGCTCAATGCAGTAGCTGCCCCCTGGTGGTCAGTGTGCTCCCACAGAGGGAGCTCTGCTCAACCACAAGCCAGGCTGACAGCTGCCAGCACAGTGGTTGTGGTGGGAGCCTCTCCTGCCTCCTCAGCAGAGCTACGGATGTCTGACAGCAGCTAGGCCCGCTCCAAGCTGGCAAGTGGACATCCCCTGAGGGCTCCTGGGCTGCCATAGGGATGTGCCTGACTGCCAGCTTAGGCCCAATCCCCCGAGGAGCGGGTCTAAGCCAGCAGGTGGTCATTCCCTGAGTGGTCCCAGACTGCGAGAGGGCACAGGCCAGGCTGAGGGACCCTCCCGAGTGCACAAATTTTTGTGCACCAGGCCTTTAGTGTGTATATATATGATTGAATATTGGCTGGTGTTTTTCTATGTTTTATTGAATTATCTTTATGTTTCTGCTTGAAAACTTTCAGTACTGCCTATAATATCAATCTCTTTTTAATTTCTTTATTGATTAAGGTATGTGTCCTTATGCCCCCGTTACCCTACCCCCCAACCCCCACTCATGCCCTTACCCATCTGTTGCCTGTTTCCATTGGTTAGGCTTATATGCATGCATACAAGGCGCAGAGTGACTGGGAATCACTGGTCACTATGACACACACTGACCACCAGGGGGCAGACGCTCAATGCAGTAGCTGCCTCCTGGTGGTCAGTGTGTTCCCACAGAGGGAGCTCTGCTCAGCCACAAGCCAGGCTGACGGCTACCAGTACAGCGGTTATGGTGGGAGCCTCTCCTGCCTCCTCAGCAGAACTAAGGATGTCCGACAGCAGCTAGGCCTGCTCCAAGCTGGCAAGTGGACATCCCCTGAGGCTCCTGGGCTGCCATAGGGATGTGTCTGACTGCCAGCTTAGGCCCAATCCCCCGGGGAGCGGGCCTAAGCCAGCAGGTGGTCATTCCCTGAGTGGTCCAGACTGTGGAGAGGGCATAGGCCAGGCTGAGGGACCCTCCCGAGTGCACAAATTTTTGTGCACCAGGCCTCTAGTGTGTCTCCCCTTTACCCCCACCCTCCCCTACCTTCCCTCTGAGATTTGATGGTCTGATCCATGCTTCTCTGTCTCTGAATCTGTTTTTGTTCATCAGTTTATGTTATTCATTATATTCCATAAATGAGTGAGGTCATGTGATAGTTATCTTTCTCTGACTGGCATATTTCACTTAGCATACCACTTTCCAGTTCCATCTCTGCTGCTGCAAATTGTAAGAATTCCTTCTTTTTTACCGCAGCGTAGTATTCCATTGTGTAGATGTACCACAGTTTTCTAATCCACTCATCTGCTGATGGGCACTTAGGCTATTTCCAAATCTTAGCTGTGGTGAATTGTGCTGCTATGAACATAGGGGTGCATATATCCTTTCTGATTGGTGTTTCTAGTTTCTTGGGATATATTCTTAGAAGTGGAATAACTGGGTCAAATGAAGTTCCATTTTCAGTTTTTTGAGGAAACTTCATAGTGGCTGCACCAGTCTGCATTCCCACCAACAGTGCATGAGGGTTCCTTTCTTCACATCCTCATCTGCACTTGTCCTTTGTTGATTTGTTGATGATAGCCATTCTGACAGGTGTGAGATAGTACTGCATTGTCGTTTTGATTTTCGTCTCTCAGATAATTAGTGGCTTTGAGCATGTTTTCATATGTCTCTTGGCCTTCCTTCTGTCTTCTTTCAAAAACTAAGTCCGTTGCCCATTTTTTGATTGGGTAGTTTATCTTCCTTTTGTAAAGTTGTATGAGTTCCCTGTAAATGTTGTAGATTAAACCCTTATTGGTGATAACATTGCCAAATATGTTCTCCCATGCAGTGGGCTTTCTA